CAGAAGTACGTAAATAAAAAGTTACAAACAACAAATGCTTTATGTTTTTTATGTGATCTTTATTCCAAATGTATGATTATATGACACATTTATTATGTTAACTAATCAGGTTATAAAAAAGAAAATAATATTTTTCTTGATTTATGTGTTCACTTGCATTGGTACAAGTGAAAGGCAATAAGCTAAGTAACTGACAAACTATCAGACAGGTAACAGAAAATGTTGAAGAGTGGTATTTTTATTCATTTTATTATTATTTCTTAAAACAGGTGAAGGACAAAGTCCAAACTGCAGTAATTGGTAAACCACCTGAGGGGCAACTTATGACCAATGCTGGCCACCAAAAGCCTTGGATTGAAAAGCAGATTGGTGTGGTGGATCATTCTCCAGTAGTTCCAGACATTCAGTCAGAAACTGAATTCCCTCCCTTGTCCAAGTATAAGCCATCAGAAGTACGTAAGAAAGTTACAATCAACAAAGGCTTAATTTTGTTTTTTATATGATCTTTGTTCTACATATATATATATATATGGTTAATATAACACTTCATATTCTTTTATTATGTTTACTGATCAGGTTAAAAAAGAAATAATTTTTTTTTTTTTAATTTAAAAGTGACAGAATAATATATTACCATTTTGATACATGAGTGGCTAGTTCTCAACTCAGGTAATTGGCAAACAACCAGACGGGCAAAAGAAAAAATTGGAAAGTGGCATTTTGACTCATTTTATTTATTTCTCTCTTTTATAATTATTTATTACAGAAGGCAAAGGACAAAGGAAAAGAAGATGTCAAGTGCAGTTTAACTGACAAGCAGATAGAAAAGAATGCAAATTCTTATACCGAAGAACCACAGTTTCAACAGAAATCTGACTCCCCGTCAAAGTTTCTCATGGGAGTTGACCCGAGCATCCTCTTGATTAGACAGAATTCCACCAACAATGCTCAGGTATCAGGCCAAAACATGCAGGCTTTAAACAGCATGGACCCCAGCATATTACTGATGGGCCCAGTCTGTGGTCCGCGTTTCCTAGAAAGCACACAGACATGTGAATGCGCGATGACCCAAGCTGCCTCAGTGGTCTCCCATCTTTGCAAAGAAAAGGAGATCAAAATCGGCCCAAAAGAAAAGGTAAAAACAAAGTAAAAAAAAAAAAAATAAACCAACAAATAAATTTTTAAAAAAATAAATATGGGTTTAATGTGAACATAAATAGATGATATGGTAAAAATTAAAAATAGAAATTGAAGGGTGCAAGTTTTGTATACATTATAAATAAAAAAGGCATTTTTTTCAACATATCTTATACTTTACCTTAATATAAAAATGCATTATCAAAATATGATTATCTAAATAGGTAAAGAAGGGCAAGTATCAAACGCAAGTAATTGGTAAACCAACATCTGAGCAACTTAAGACCAATGGTGGCCAACGAAAGCCTAGGATTGAAAAACAGGTTAAGGCAAGGTCAACAGACAGGAAGGAGATTGGTGTGGTGGATCATTCTCCAGTAGTTCCAAATATTCAGTCAGAAACTGAATTCCCTCCCTTGTCCAAACATGACCCATCAGAAGTATGTAAAGAAGTAACAAACAGCAAGAAACTGAATTTGAAGAATGGAAAACAAAAGATGCAGAGCTCATTGCCTTCGATACTTCCATCTCCTTTGACCAGAATTGAGACTGATGACAAAGATGAAATTTCAGTTATAGATATGTTGGCCTTGGAAACACCCACTTTTCTGGAAAATGAGGTAAACATTGCCATTGGTATGAAACAAACAATGTTTATGTTAATTTAACAATTTTTAAAAATCTTTTATTAGTGATACATTTTGTAATTGATTGTATAATTTGTGACAGATCAGTGGTTGATGTTGAACATAATTGCAACTTTGATCTTGACTTTTTTTTGACGTGTTTTTGATGCTGGTTAAAGAGATTGCCAATTTAATTTTGTTCCTTTTGAACTTATTATTAACTTGATCATAAAAAATCAATCAATTATCTGTTTTTTTAAAAGGTACAAAGGACACAGAAAGACCGAACCTTGGTACAAGAGACTGAAGCAAAGCAGTTCCATTCATGTGCAGTTGTGTTGAGACAGGTAAGTGCTAGAGAATGCCATTTTTTATTGGGCACTTCACAAATCTGCTTTTCTTAGGTGTAGCATATGAATATACATGTATTTGAAAATGGAGCACTGGTGGGACAGGAATGGTAGTCTGTTAGGAACTGTGGTCCATTCCCCATTAGTAGTATTACTTAGAACAGGTCCCATTTGCCCGAATACTAACCCAATACTCCAACCAACGTTATAATCTGTGCTAATCATATGGGACCCCAGACTTTGGTTCCTAAGCCTACCATTACTTTCACAACTGGCCATGGGTGACCTTAACTTGGTCATTCCTTTGTTTATTTTGAAAAGCATATTGGGTTCTAGTTTAAGACAAAGGTACATATGTATCATTCAGCTATTTACTTCATGTAGATACAGGGTATATACCTGATGTATTTGTCCAAGAATTTCATAATTGATCAGATATCTTGGCAAGATCAGAATATATTCGCTTTATTTTTATTGCATATAAATCTAAATTGTCCTGACTGTCCATTAAAGCTTAACGTATATAGCAATTGCTGAGGTACTGATTTCCATCAATTCTAAGTTGAGAAAGATAGGTGAAGTTGGCCACTGTAATATACATGTATTTACCTGCAGTGTCCAACTTTTTTTTTTTTTTTTTTTTTGCATCCACAGGCGTATGACAACCTTAGTTTTTACTTCTTTTTTTTTAATTGTAGCCCCACGTTCATGTTGCCAAATTACGTGAACTGGGAGACAGAAATATGGTAAAAGTTAATCTACCTCAGACTGCCCAAGTAGAGGTATGTTTGAAATAATCAACATTATGATCATAAATTAAAACATGTATTTGTCTAAAGATAAAAACACCAGTGCAATTTGTTTTGAGAAACAATGAACCGATGGCATATTTTACAGTGTATGCCAAATCTGCAGGTATATTTATGACAGAAGTGACACAACTCTTTCACTGCAGGTCCATCCACTGGCAATGATGTACATCAATGAAATGCATGCAGCCATGTTGACCAAAGTACGTATTCATGTATGCAAACCTAATCTGCATAACAGTAATTTCCAAACAACTATTCTAAGTGGGATTAAAGGGCTCTGAGATTATAATATAATATAATATAATATAATATAATATAATATAATATAATATAATATAATATAATATTTAGTGTAATGTGGCAATTAGGCCGAAAGTTCTACTGATATTAAGCACTGGCCATTTTGTTCTGTAATGGCTAATGCTTTTGGAAGTGGAGGGCAGGGGGTTATGATTGAAAGTAAGAGAAACAGTTTCACAAAATTGGGTATGGAACTAAATGTTTCACTGAAATGAAAGTCTGGTTATTCAGCAAATGTTGTTGGTCATTAACTCTCTCTCTTTTATATAGCATATGTATAGACATTTACTTTGTGTTTTTTTATACAGCCCATAATTCAGATGCAAATGCTGAGGCATCTAAGCCTGGTCAAGATCAGGAATAACAACTCAACCTGCAGAGAAATTATCAAGACTGAAGACAGAAAGGATGACAAAGTAAGGGGGCTTTTTGAAACTTAAATCTAAATTTTAAATGCATAAATGGTCATAAGTGAATTTCTGTTTGATTAAAGCTTTTGTTATCAAGAATAAAGAAAAGAAAAGAAAAATGAAAAAAAAATGCTATTTTTTGTATAATTAGAAATATAAGTTTATATTGTCGACACTTGGTAAAAGTTATGTGTATGGACAGGGCCCTTTAGAAAAATATTCTTACTCATATTGTATATATTAATTATTGAGTATTGATATACTTTACAAAACCATTTAGTGTTACAATGTTATATATTTTAAGCATCCCAAGGCAAACTCAACAGGTGTGTGTATTGAACAGAAAGTCAACTCCAGCATTTCACTGATGGGACCAGGCTGTAGTGAGGAGACATTTGAATCCACAATGAAGTCAGTGGCTGCACGTCTCCTAAGTGAAAAGAAGTTCACAGCCAAACTCATGAACAAAATCAAAAACAAGGTTAGATATCCATAATCAGTAAATGAAATGGAATAAAATAAGTAAAAAAAGAAGAAATTAAAAAGAGACAGCAACTATACTACATGAAGTGTATATGGTAAGCTTTTTTTAATGATGATAACCGATCAGGTTTTAAACATAACAATACCTTTTCTTGATTTAAATTGTCTGAATAATATATTACTGTTTTGATACAGACAGCATTCAAGCTGAAGCAATTGGTAAACAATGAGACAGGCTACTCAGAAAGTTAAAAATTGGCATTTTAATTCATTTATATTATCTATCTAATTATTATTTCCTTAAGCAGAAAAAACTGAAAGGGAAGAAAGAAAAACAAAAGGAGCCTGATGTTGTACCGAGGAGATCAAGCATGCCCAAGAACAAATTCATGGCACAAAATGTTGAAAAGCAAGTTCATAAGGAGCCAGAGCCTGATTTTACAACTAAGATTGACAACAAAAAAGTGGAAAATTTGGTAAGTAGGAATCAAACAATCTAAATGTGATTTTGGCAGTTTTGCAACTGTTACATCTTTGTCTTATATTACATGTGATGGATAAATTTTGTAATTGGTCATATTATAATTTTTGACAGAAATTTTTTTTTAAGGTCTGAATAATGTAAAACAGTTTTTGATACAGGGGAAGGTGCAAGTTCCCAACTCAAGTATTTGGTAAACAACCAAACAGCTGACAACATAAAAAGTAAATTTAATTCTATTAATCTTTTTAATTATTATTTCCTAAAACAGGTGAAGGGCAAATGCCACACTGAAGTAATTGGTAAACCACCAGACAGGCACCATAAGACCAATGCTGGCCAACGAAAGCCTGAGTTTGAGAAGCTGTTGAAAGCAGCCTCAACAGGCGGGAAGGAGATTGGTGTGGGGGATCATTCTCCTGAAGTCCCAAATATTCAGTCAGAAACTGAATTCCCTCCCTTGCCAAAGTGTGTTCCATCAGAAGTAAGTATAAAAGTCACAAAGTTCAAATGCTTTGTTTTATGTTTTTCATGTGATCTTCATTCTGAATACATGAATATGGTGAATATGACACTTTTTTTCTTTTAAATGGAAACTGATCACATTTTCAAGTTTTGAAAATTTTTCTTCATTTTAAGTTTCTGAATAATATATAACTGTTTTTGTTTCATAATACCTGATTATTTGATTATTATTTCTCACAGCAGGTGAAAGGCAAAGGCCAAACTAAAGTAATTGGTAAACCACCAGACAGTCATCTAAAGACCAAAGATGGACAACAAAAGCCTAGGTTTGAAGAGCAGTCAAAGGCGAGCTTAACAGTCAGGAAGGAGATTGGTGTGGTGGATCATTCTCCAGTGGTTCCAAATATTCAGTCACATACTGAATTCCCTCCCTTGTCCAAGCATGACCCATCAGAAGTATGTAAAAATGTTACAACCGACAATTGCTTTACTTTGTATTTTCATGTGATCTTTGTTCTACATATATGCTGAATATGACACTTTATAATCTTTTGTTATGTTTACTGATCAGGTTTAAAAAGAAAATAATATTTTTCTTGATTAAAACATATCACAGTAATATATTACTGTATTGGTACAAGTGAAGGGCAATAAGCTACATGTAAGTAAAGTAACTGACAAACGTTCTGACTGGTAACAAAATGTTGAAGAGAGGCATTTTTATCAATTTTAATCATTGATTTTATTATTATTTTATTATTATTTCTTAAAGCAAGTGAAGGACAAAGTCCAAACTGAAGTTATTGGTAAACCACCTGACAGGCAACTTAAGACCAATGCTGACCAACAAAAGCCTAGGATTGAAAAGCAGCTAAGGACAATTTCAACAGGCAGGAAGGAGATTGATGTGGTGGATCATTCTCCAGTAGTCCCAGATATTCAGTCAAAAACTGAATTTCCTCCCTTGTCCAAGTATGAGCCATCAGAAGTACGTAAGAAGGTTGCAATCAATAAACATTTAATTTTGTTTGTTATATGATCTTTGTTCTACATATATATGGTGAATATAACATTCCATATTCTGTTATTATGTTAACTGATCAGGTTAGAAAAGAAAATTAAAGTAAATAAAAGTATCAGAATAATGAATTACCATTTTAATACAGGTGAAAGGCAACTTCAGTAATTGGCAAACAACCAGATTGGCAACAGAAAAAGTTGGAGAGTGGCATTTTGATTCCTTTTATTCATTTCTTTATTTTATAATAATTTCTTAAAACAGGTGAAGGACAAAGGAAAAGAAGTTGTCAAATACAGCTCAACAGATGAGCAGACAGGAAAGGATGCAAATTCTTTTTCTGAGACACAACAATTTCAACAGAAATCTGACTCCCTGTCAAAGTTTCTAATGGGAGCCGACCCGAGCATCCTCTTGATTAGACAGAATTCCACCAACAGTGCTCAGGTATCAGACCAAAACATGCAGGCGTTAAAAAGCATAGACCCCAGCATATTACTGATGGGCCCAGTCCTGGAAAGTGCACAGACATCAGAAAGCACGATGAGCCACGATGCCTCAGTGGTATCGCATCTCTGCAAAGAAAAGCAGATTACAACCAGCCCTACAAAAAAGGTAAAATAAATAAATACAGGTTTAACATGAACATAAACAGATAGAATGGTAAAAAAATCAAAATAGAAAGGTTTTGTACATTATAAATAAAAATACAGCATTTTTTTCAACATTTAATCAGACAGACCTTTGTTTTAACATATCTTAAACTTTATCTTAATGTAAAAAATGCATTATCAAAATATGATTATCTAAATAGGTAAAGAAGGGCAAATATCAAACTCAAGTAATTGGTAAACCAACATCTGAACAACTTAAGACCAATGGTGGCCAACAAAAGCCTAGANTTAACATTTAATCAGACAGACCTTTGTTTTAACATATCTTAAACTTTATCTTAATATAAAAAATGCATTATCAAAATATGATTATCTAAATAGGTAAGGAAGGGCAAGAATCAAACTCAAGTAATTGGTAAACCAACATCTGAGCAACTTAAGACCAATTGTGGCCAACAAAAGCCTAGGATTGAAAAACAGCTGAAGGCGAGCTCAACAGACAGAAAGGAGGTTGGAGTAGTGGGTCATTCTCAAGATGTCCCAAATATTCAGTCAGAAACTGAATTCCCTCCCTTGTCCAAATATGGTCCATCAGAAGTACCTAAAGAAGTAACAAACAGCAAGAAACTGAATGTGAAGAATGGAAAACAAAAGGTGCAGAAATCCTTGCCTCTAACACTTCCAACTCTGGCAACCACAGCTGAGACAGATGACAAAGATGAAATTTCAGTTATAGATACATTGGCCTTGAAAACACCCACTTTTTGGGAAAATGAGGTAAACATTACCATTGGTATTAAACACATGATACTTATGTTAATTTCACCTTTTTAAAAATCTTTTTATTTGTAATGGTTGATACATTTTGTAATTGGTTGTATAGAAAACAAAAAATCAATCAAAATTGTAACCAATCAAGGGTTGATGTTGAACATTAACGTAAAATTGTTATTGGCTACTGTGCTGCATGTTTTAAATGCTGGTTAAGGAGACCGTTGTTGTAATTAGGCCAATTTAATTGTGTTCCTTTTAAACTTATTTTGAACTTGACCATATATAAAATCATTCAATTATTATTATTATGATTTTGAAAGGTACAAATGACACAGAAAGGCCAGACCTCTGTGCAAGAGACTGAAGCAAAGCAGTTACATGAAGGTGCAGTCTTGTTGAGACAGGTGAGTGCTAGAGAATGTCATTTTTATTTTGGGTGCTTGACAAACCCACTTTTCTTAATTCATGGAGATACAGGGTACATGTATATGCCTAATGTTGTTTTCACAGAATTTCATAATTGATCAGATATCTTGGCAAGATCAGAACATTCACTTTATTTTTATTGCAAATAAATCTAAATTGCACTGACTTTCCATTCAAGCGAAATGTAGCAATTGCTGTGGTTCTGATTTCAATGAATTTTAAGTTGAGAAAGATAGGTGAAGTTGGGAAGCTGAAAGATTTACCTGCAGCCGCCTCTTTTTTTTTTATATCCACAGATGTATGATAACCTTACTTTTTACTTTTTTTAACTGAAGCCCCATGTTCAAGTTGACCTATTACGCAAATTGGGGGACAGAAATATTGTCAAGATAAATCAACCTCAGACTGCCCGAGTAAAGGTATGTTTTTGGTAATCTATGTTATAATCATAAATGAAAAGATGTATTTGTCCAAAGATTACAAAAAAGAAAAAAAAAAATTAGCAATTTGATATCATAAACAATAAACTGACAACATATTTTACAGCTTATACCAAAACTATATTATATATATTTTTATGGCTACTATATGAAATATATTTATGACAGAAGTGATGTAACTCTTAATACAGGTCCATCCACTGGCAATGATGTACATCAAGGAAATGCATACAGCAATGTTAACAAAAGTAAGTGTTCATATATGTAGACTCAAAAAAGTAATTCCTGGACTACTATGCCAAATGGGATAAGAATGCTCGTAGAATATCATAACATAATAATGCAATGCCGCAATAAGACCAAAGTTTTACCTGTGTTTTAAAAGCACTGGCCACTTTATTGGGATTAGAAAGCAGAAGGCTACAGGATTCATGTAAGAGGTATAGTTTTCATAAAATTGAGACTAGAACTAAACTGTTTAGGTGGAATGATATTCAGCGATGGCTTTGGTGTATAAGCATATTGTCCCAATTTTCAAGTGAGCTTTGATATATAGCAGATAGACAATTACTTTTATATGTTTCTTTATACAGCCTTTAATTCAGATGAGGATGTTAAGGCATCTAAGCCTAGTCATCAGGAATTGCAACTCAACTTGCAGAAAAATAATCAACACTGGAGACAGAAAAGATGAAAAAGTAAGGAGAAATTGTGAAAATTAAATCTAAATTGTTAATGCATATGAATGAGCATAAGTGTCTAGTTAAAGCCCTAGAAAATTATCTTAAGAAATATTTACCAAGGTAAAAAAAAAGAAAAGAAAGGAAAATATCCCTATTTTTGTACAATCATGAGCCTGAGCTAATATTATCGACACTGTGTTGGGACTGGACACTTTTTTATTTTTTATTTCTTATTGCAATTAAAGGGCAAGTGCCAAATGGAAGTAACTGGTAAACCACCATTCGGGCGTCATAAGACCAATGCTGGTGGACTAATGCCTTGGTGTGAAAAGCAGCTGAAGGCAAGCTCAAAAGACAGGAAGGAGATTGGTATGGGGGACCATTCTCCAGTAGTCCCACAAATTCAGTCAGAAACTGACTTCCCTCCCTTGTCCAAGGATGATCCATCAGAAGTACATCAAGAAGTAGCAAATAGCAAGAAATTGAATAAGAAAAACGGGAGATCGAGCCAGCCAAAATACAAATTCGTGGCATCGAAGAGGCTAGAGCCCGATTTAACAACAAAGACCAACGACAAGAAACTTAAAAAAGAGGTAGGCATTTCCTTAAGTACTCTAGGAATTAAACAACGAAAATTTATTTTAACAGTTTTGCAGCTGTTACATCTTTATCTTTTATTAGCATTGCTTAATAATATTTGTAATAATTATTAATTATTATATCATTAATTTATTATTATGTCATTAATTATTATTTCTTAAACCAGGTGAAAGGCAAAGGCCAAACAAAAGTATCTGGTAAACCACCACACGGACAACTTAAGTCCAATGCTTGCCAACGAAAGCCTAGGATTGAAAAACAGACGACCTCAAAAGACAGGAAGGAGATTGGTGTGGGGGATCATTCTCCAGTAGTTCCACAAATTCATTCAGAAATTGAATTCCCTCCCTTGTCCAAGTATGATCCAACAGAAGTACGTAGGGATTTTACCAACGACAAATGCTTTGTTTTATATTTTCTTTTTCATACGACTTTCGTTTTACATGCATGTACTGTACATGTACTTGAATCTAAATGTAAACTTACAACACATTTTCTTGTAACTACTCAAATCTTAAAAGAACCTTTTATTTTTTATTAAAAGGTTTCTGAAAATTCAATATGAATTTTGATTATACCAATGTTAAATTGATATTAATCATTTTCATAATGTTTATTTTTTATCAATTTTTTTTTCAAAATAGGCCAGGAAGGCAGTACGTACCAACACAGACCAAGAAAATCATGAGATGAAAATGGCAGACATGAGAAAAAGTGGCTCCATGGAAACCGGCCAAGAAGAAGATTTTAAAAACAGCTCAACAGATGAGCAGACAGAAAACGATGTCAATTTGTTTTGCGAAAAGCAACAAAATCAACAAAAATTTGACTCCCCGTCAAAGTTTCTCATGGGAGTCGACCCGAGCATCCTTCTGATTAGACAGAATTCGACCGACAATGCTCAGGTATCAGACCAAAACATGCAGGCGTTAAACAGCATAGACCCCAGCATATTACTGATGGGCCCAGTCCTGGAAAGTGCACAGACATCAGAAAGCACGATGAGCCGAGATGCCTCAGTGGTATCGCATCTCTGCAAAGAAAAGCAGATTACAACCAGCCCCATCAAAAAGGTAAAAAATGAAATAAAAAACAGGCTAAACATAAACATAAATGCACGCAGATAAATGAGGTAAAAAAAAAAATACAAAGTGAAGGGCGCTAGGTAATGTACATGTACCTTGTAAATAGGTTATTTCATTTTATTTTTAAATTCAGACCAACTTTTGTTTTTAGCATAAGCTTATACTTTTTTAAATATAAAAATGCATGATAAAAATATAATTATTTAAATAGGTGATGAAGGGCAAGTACCAAACTCGATTAATTGGTGAACCATCAGACAGGCAACCAAAGATCAGTGTTGGCCGACGAAAGCCTAGGCTTGAAAAGCAACTGAAGCCGGGCTCAACAGTCAGGAAGGAGATTGGTTTAGGGGATCATTCTCCAGATGTTCCACAAATTCAGTCAGAAACTGAATTCCCCCCTTTGTCCAACTATGATCCATCAGAAGTATGTAAGAAAGTAACAAACGGCAAGAAATTGAATTGGAAGAATGGACAACAAAAGAAGCAGAAGTCCTTGCCTTCGACACTTCCCACTTCTGCGACCAGAACTGAGACAGATGACAACGATGAAATTCCTGTTATGCAAAGATGTTCCTCGTTGGTCTCGGAACAAATAGAGATTACATCCACTATTCTGGAAAATGAGGTAAGCTTTTCCGTAAGACGCGCATGTTCATTTTAACAGTTTCTTTATCTTGTGTTAGTAGTGGTAGATAAATTTTGTCATAGTAGGTTATAAAATAATTTTTTTCAGAAAAAACAAAAACATTAATTATTTAACATTGTAACCCACCAGCCGTTGATTTTGAACATAATCGCAAAATTGATCTTGAATACCAAGTTACCCATTTTGATACAGATTAAAATGACAGCTGTTGTAGATTCACTTTTTTGGGGGGAGGACCTGATTATTAATATGTTATTCATTGATAGGTAATCAATTATCAATATTTTGTTAAAGGTACATAAGACACGGAAAGGTCAGACCTCTACGCAAGTGATTGAAAGAAATCAGCCGCATGAACCGAGCGTCGCCGAAGCCGGCTTACTTACGGCAGGGGACAGCCGCTTTAAAAGTAGCACGTTTGACGCTCAAAACGGACTGAATTCCTCTCAGAGGCCCGTGACATTACACAGTGAAAGTAAGATCGAGAATGTTTCGATTTCACTGGAAGAATCGACCTCTGGGCAGATTGAGATCGCACTCACTTTGCCGGCGGATGTGGTGAACATTTTGAAAATTGATGAGTTAAACCACGCAGAGGGTGCGGCTTATGTAACGTCTGCGTCTCCAAGTGCAAGCAATGCGTCTAACAGAAACATGAACAGTTACATACAGGATACTTTAAATAAGAAAAAGAATCGAAGAAAAACCAAAGTCGTTCTTTTAAGCACGCGAACTCTTCCACGCTATGAAACATGAAGAAATGACTCACATGTACAGTCCAAGGAACAATTTAAAAATTTACACTTTTTTGTCAACTTTAACAAGAATTATTCATATTAAAAATTCTAGTATATCTTTCTTTGTTTGTTTGTTTAAATAATGTATATTTCTGTGAAGTATTTAGGTATCTTAGACATTTTAGTAAATCTAAATGTACAATTTCAGAAAGCTACTTTAGTTAGTTAAAGAATGGTTAATTTATTCAAATTACAATAAAATATACCATCTTGTACATATTGATATAAAATTTGAAATGAATAAAATTCAAAAATCAGTATTAGCGTGATAATTTGATTTCTCATTAACCTTTTAGAATGGACTCAAAGACAGCCGATTGCCTTTTAAAAAGTATCTTACAAAATTGCTTTTTTGAATGTTACACATTTTTCGTGGTCTACAAATATCATAAGTATTTATTTCCGATCTAATAGAAACGAATTTAATGAAACTACACACACACACACACACGCACGCACGCACGCATATTTCATACCACGAATGATAGGCGAAATACAGATCCACAGGTAAAACATGACCGACCCACTTAAATGATTGTCGCATAATCCCGACGGGGAATCTTATCAGTGTCTGTTATGGGATTACGCGACAAGCGACAAATGGGTCCCCATATTTGATCCGCGGATCTGTTAGCCCGCTGTTGCGAACTGCTTATCATTCGTGGCATGAAATATGCGTGTTAGTGTGTGTGTGTGTGTGTGCGTGCGTGCGTGCGCAGTTTCATAAAATTCGCTGTTGTGAATGCGGCCATACCCAACGCTGTCACAGGAGTTTTCGACATAGTAGTTGAAAGGTTGGTAGACGGATCTAAAAACTACCTAACTCTGCCAATATCTTATGCTATGCCTCGGCTTAAAATAACCTGCACAGAAAAAAGAGGTCGATACAAGGCTTTTTTTTTTTAATTAAACTGTTCAGAACTTTGCTTTTATCGTGTTATACTGGTGCTTGTTCAATGTTTATTGTACCCAGCTTTCCTTAGAAGCTTGCGTTATAACAATCCTCAGCTCGCACACTGACTCACTTCTCTGTCAGCTTTTATCTTTGCTACCTTCATCTGGTCGCATATCCCTTGAAAGTGGCAGCCAGTATAACCATTTTGCTTCCTGAAAGGCAAATATAGGTCATGGCGCTGATGAAGTTATGGGTATGTTTCACTGCCTTCTGTAGCGTAGTTTTCTGTGCCTCGCTGTTGTGGACGTACAAGATCCAGTCAAGGGTATTTGAGAACAAAAGGCAGCAACAGATAAGATATGTTGAATATATACCATCAACCACTTCCATCACAGAGATGGAGCCAGTTGCCAACCAGGCATCAACTGATGGTTTCACCGTGACAAGTAAGTATTGCTCAAGGTGTTTGACGTTTGCCATTGACAATTATAATTTCCCTCTTTTCAAGTTATCGGCTAATATTATTTTCGGAAGCTTTATATACATATGTTCTAGCACTTGATGCTTAACTGATTTGGTATTGTTACGCTGGTACCTATACGCCCAAACATTCCATATTAAAGATGAACCACGTAAGTAGCAGTTACTGCTGTTTTGATAATAATTTTCATGAAACTGTTTTTTTTTTTTTTTTGTATTGAGTAAGAAGTGTCTTGTTTTCAATGTTAATCATTATGCGATAGTTTGGTGATAGGGTTAAGAATGCAAATATTTTAGCTTTGTAATTAATGAATTTGACCACAGCCACCAGTAATTATTGTTAGCCAAAGGAGTTTTGCGGTCAACTATTCGTTAACGTTAGATTAAGAAGAGGAATATTTCACATTTTCAACCCATTCTAATATTGTATATCTGCAATTAAAACTAACCCTCTTCTCAAAGAATGTCTGTGCTTACAGTATATTCTTTGTATTGCGAGTTCTTTTTGTTAACTTTTCTATTTATAATTTTAAGCGACGTAAAACAGTAACCTAATATATTTAGTATGACAAACCCGTTGGCCCATTTTATGTGACACTAGTAGCACAGTATCATATTGGCAGATGAAAAGCACTGTGGTGTTATACGCGTATATGTCGGAGGGGACAAGTACCTTCTTTAATATAGATATAGGCACCCACTTATACAACCTCAACTCTTTCGTTGTAAATCAGATTGAGTTGAAACAAAATGTTAGGTTTTTTTTCTTTTTACAATTTTCTACATCGTTAAATAAATGTTTCCAAGAATGCTGCTACTTTACGAGATTTGATTCATTTTTGACTCCTAGATATGAACAAACTCCGGTTCTACATATAGACTACGCGAACTCAAGTGTATTCTCTTGTCTTAGGGCCAACTTAAGTTATATAGAAAATGATGTCATCTAAATACACATTCACAACCGACAAGAGATGAACGCTATTCTAGTCCATTCATTTTAAAGTAAGTGTTGAACACATTCTAACCTAGTTAATAGTTGAAACAATATAATCGTGACCCTCCTCACTTCGTTTGAGCAGCAAGTTGTTGTAGTTTTTATACTTCTCCATTGCATGAAACTCATAATAAATTTACCGCGCTGTGTTGCATTATCAATATTTGATGCTTTCATATGGCTGCCTCACTGCTGTGTGGAAATACAAGTAGAACATATGAACCACACGGGAAAATGCACTACCAGTATCTTAATATGGAATAGTTAAAGTAAACATAGGAGTTAGGCAAAAACGGTTGTAGAACTCTTAGTTTTTCTTGCAAAGGAAACTGAGAAAGTTGGCAACGAATATGTTTTTCTTTATTAAAATATAAATCATTTTCATGAAAAAAGAAAAAAGTAAATGAGTACAGAAAGTCGGAAAATATCAGTTTTGACTTAAATTATCTTTACATCTGAGAGAAATACATCTGAAAGTAAACACCACTGTTTGCAAGGGGGCCAGAGCATGCGTTGTTCGAGTGCTTAATACGTTTCATGAGAAAACTAGTTTAAAAGATTATCTATCCAGTGCTGAGAGCTACTTACTCCACTGGCCCTTTGGTCACTATATGGTCTGCAAATCTACTGGACACAATACTAGTAAACACTTAACTATCATGTAGAAATCGAAAAAGATTTTTTCCTGGACTGTCTTCAATTTGACTGACCAATGTAAATGTCTATGACTGTTTTAATTTCATTGTTTTCAACCGCCATTTTTATTTAAATATGCAGGAACACTGACCAGTAAAATATCAGGCGAGAGTACCAACAGCGCAATTCACAACACCGACATGGACCCAAGAGGTGACGCCGTTCTTATCGTGACCTATGTTCGGAGTGGCTCCAGCTTGGTTGGGGAACTTTTTAACCAAAACCCGGACGCTTTTTACATGTTTGAGCCCACGCATGAACTTGACAGGGCATCCATGAAGCGACATTTAACTTACACCGATAACTCGCAAAGGTAACGGTATTAAGTTTTAGCCGCATTACCCGGTAAAATATACCATACGCTTTTGAAAATATCCCAGAGTTAGGCTTATTAGACCAAATATTCTGAAAATCTACTGATCTCTTCCCATTCGGACAGTAAAACGACACCCAACCTATAAGAAGTACCTGATTTTTCATATGAATAGTCAGGAAGACCACAGGTACCATTCGCACAGATTTTTGGATCGATCTATCTCCCTGGGGAGTCTCACTAAATTGCTATCAACGTAACCGGCTTAAATGTCTGTCACGCCCAGTAAAGCTGTTAGGGGGTAATTATCTTTACCCTCTAGTTGATTTGGTAGGTGTGACAAGCATTTAAGCCGGTTAGTTGATAGCAATTTAGTGAGACTCCCCAGGGAGTTAGACCAATCCAGGTGGATCGACCTAGGCATGGGAATTCAGTCTAAGAATAGTGAATTGTGTAGAACTAAGATTTGTAATTAGTAACATGGAATCCAAGTACCCAGCAAACAAAGAACGTTATTTTAACGTTAACATAACGTTTATAAAACGTTAAGCGTTTGCTGGGTACAGGGTCGGGTCCATGCAGTAATTCGTGATTAAGAAAAATTTGTATTACGTTTTTTTTTTCACAAGTGAAAATTACATTTGATGCAAAAAATCTCGCACAAGATACCTTTTGTTTTGCATTGTTAAATGAAGGACTATAGAGCAATCACAGCTCATTATACCAGCACAAACAATCTGTATTTAAGCGTAATTCGTTGTAAATGTACCATTACAGGACCATGGAAAGTACAGGACTACCCAAAAAAGAATTCATGACGGACGTGGTCAAAAACTTGATATCATGTGATTTTACCAAGGTTCCTGTCAATGTCTTAGCGCCGGAGTCACCTTCTCACTGGTTTTTCATTGCTCTTGGCAGACACATACATTTAAGAACTTATGCCTCATGCATTTTAAAGTACAACACAACGGCAGAAGACATCCAATGCATCCCACTGATAAAACGGGCATGCGACAAATCGTTTAAAGCATTCAAAATTGTCGTGCTCCGTATGACAGACCTCGAGCCGATTTTGAGGCAGTTCGAACGAGTAAAGATTCTTTATCTCGTGCGCGATCCACGGGCTTCGATTTTATCGATGCGAAAATACAAGCTGATCCGGCCTGTGACGCTTCAGAAGTGCAACATGACGTGTGAGATAGTCAAACGTTGCAAGGAACACATGATCCCCGATCTCGTTGCACGCGACAGGCTACAAAGTCGGTTCCCTGGTCGCATTATGACCCTCCGGTACGAAGACTTAGCGGACAATCCCATCGCCTATGCTGACAAGATATACGAGTTTATTGGGCGGGAAATGCCGGCCAATGTTAGAGAGTGGCTCGTTAATACTACATCTGGTAAAATAGAAGGGGATGTTATGTCTGATCCGTACGGCACAAGTAGAGTAAACTCATCGCAAACAGCTCACCAATGGGAGAGAACGATACAGCCATCCCTAGGCGTTGAGGTAGACAGCTATTGTGGTGAGGTCATACAAAAGTTGGGCTATGAATCATTCGCCAATATACAATCTCGAAAAAGTCAAGAAAGACTGAGAAAGGACGGCCAATCTAACAGAGTTCAGAGTAATGCCAAATAATGTATAGATACATGTACAAATGTGGTGCATAATTTGCCTACAAGCCTCTTTAAAGCATACAATTTAAATTGCAACGGAACGAAAAAACTTATTTTCCTATATATACAGACTTGACATTTAATATGGAATATTTTTTCTAAATCATTATTAATCAGTTTTTTTCCTATTTTGCAGACTGATAAATAAAAATAGGGATTAAAATCGTGTTTTAATAACTTTTGATAAAATGTTCCATGTCATTGCAACATCAGTTCTTTAATTGACTTCCCCAGTGAAGCAAACAAAAATGCATTGCCAATTTTAAGTCATACGACAACCATTGAAAGCGATATTTTGGATCTCCATATCTCCTAAATTATCGTCTTTAAAAGAATTACACGACCCACAAAGGACCCTCATGTCAGTGTCTAGTCACATTAACAGTCGCTGCTATGCCTGACCTTATCTTCCTGCTACCAGAGCTTTCAAGAGGCAAGGCATTTCTTGCGATATTTTTTCAGAATTTAATCTGGAATAAAATTCCAGTCAACGGTTAAAACTTGTCCAATTTGGTTCAGTTTTGTTGTAGGACATGCAGGCCGTTGATTTGGCGACTATTGACCGAACCACATATTGTCAAAGTGGTTCAAATATGGCGATTTTGATGACCAAGGTAGCTGCTTATTCCTTTGGTTCTGTAAGTTATCTGCTATAAAAAGTTTTCTGTGTGAACCAGCAATCTGATCGTGCAACCTAAAACTGTGCCTAAGGTGCCCCCTATCAAATGATAGTCAAGTGGTTCCCAGATTATTCCTTTATTTGATCTGGTTCAGGTTTTCATCGATGACTTCCATTGGTGTTTTGGCACCAATGTGGTATCAACTCCAAATATTGACGATGTCAATGGCCCTAGTCACTTCAGAAGCGGCACACACCTTGTCGTAGGCCTCTTCAGGATGTCTGTAAACTCTTTTTTGACCAATTTAGCGGTACAGGTGAAATCTGACCTCATTAAAGAAAACAACGCGATTTCAGTGTTCTACCCAGAAACGGACATGGTCCCCAATTAATTAGAGAAACAAACTACGCTGTTTTGCTGTTTACAGTGGCTTCCTCAGAGGTGGCCTAATATCCTAACCTGCTGAAACCATTTTGGTCTTCGCTTAGCGCCTTGAAAACGCGTTTTGGTGACAATTTGCCCCTCATTTGAAACGGACTAGGTGGTTTTGGTTTAATTGTAGCAGCATTTCCTGAAGGACATTGAGTCCTGTATCTTGGTGGTAAGATATCGATACATTGGACGTGTTGTCTGTGTGGGCACATAACCCTGGGCATTACTCTATGAAACTGTGCGGACAGTTCCGTTTGGGGCAATAATCTGTCTGGCAATGTCTGTCTTTTTCGCGCCATTCTGGCACAGCTTAACGATTTTGATAAACAATGCTTAACTCATTTTACGCACTGCAAAACCGACCGCTTGCATGCAAAATTTCAAATTCTTCTATGCAATAGTTGCCGACATATGGATACATTTATGACAGAACCATGCCTCGCCAAAGTCAAGCTTTGGCCACCCCAAAGGAGCACTACCCAATTAAATCACTGCATATTACACAATGCAGCAATGCGTCAGACTTGGTAATCAGTTAATTGGTAGAGACACACCTGTCTTCACACTTCTCCAGTCAGATATCTTATATGAGATCTGAGTTTTTTCAATGAAGAACGCATTTTTACCTAGGTATACCTTTAAAACTGAAATATTCCATATTAAATGTCAAGTCTGTATATATGTACTGTAAAAATGCTAGAATTAATAAATGTGTACAATCTGAGACTATTTGATTGTCTATAACGTAAACAGTTCAAATTCTTAACCACTTGTCTGATTTAGCGACATATAAATACTGAGGGGTGAAATTTAATTCGGCATTATTCTAGTTTCACTTATTTATTTATTTATTTATTTATTTATTTATTTATTTATTTATTTATTTATTTATTTATTTATTTTTGTGGAATTCTTGTGTTTATTTCTTGTAAAATAATGTTTTGGTTTTTAAAATGTGTCAACAAAGCATTCATCTTGATTTTATAGTTTGGATCACACTGATATAATGTTTTATTGGTATAATAGTACAGCTGTATCTCTGTCTGTACATGTACATTCTGTATTTTATATCAGTCTCCAAAATGGATAGTTAACTCGAGGATATGAACAATAACGAAATGTTAAATATAGCGTGGGATTTATTTTTACATTAATGTATGTGACCGCGTATATACATGAAACTCCGGTTACAGCATGGTGCGTTATTACATGTACCTTATAAATAGAATTAATACTTGTAAAACTGATCTCTGGCACATTTTCTATAGCTACATGGAACATACATGCATTTGTCACAGTAATTGTGTTAAACACAAGTGACAGCATGACACATTATTACCTTCTGGGGTATGAATATATAGCTGCATTCAGAACAGCGGACTTACTAGGGGAAGTATTCAAGTGGGTCGGCCATATTTGACCCGTGGACTAGTTAGTCCACTGTTCTGAATGTGGCCTATTTTAAGTAAAAAAAAAAAGCCTTAGCTCACAATGTTACCTGTAAAAAACGTCTAGTTTAAAGTCGTGTTACTGATTGTCTCTTAGGATGCGTACACAACGAAACTATCGCACTAGGTACCAGTAGTTCGAACTAACTCCGAGAGGACAGTCGATGATTGCAATCAGATTATCATGCCTATCCTTGTTTCCAGTGTAACGGTATAAACACCAGCTTTTTGTATTCTACATTATATTTGGTCCTAAAATTTACTAACCACCAGGACGAGGACGACCAAACATTATTTCTTTTATCTGATTGCATACACTCCCCGCGGAGTTACATGTAGTTCAAACTACATAGTAGGGCCTACAATAGGTTAAACGTGGACGCAACCTTAAAAGAATAAAACAGCTCCTATCCACACAACAGCAGTTTGACAGCAAACACAGTTTAGTCATCGTCGATATTACAGCAAGAAGTGCATGTAAAGCAGGCAATCTTCTTCTCCCCACATACACAGGACATAAAAAACGCCGTGACAAGTAACGTAACGTAGGCCGTGATAATTATGCCTAGTATGTACGCATGGGCATTTGCTATAGTAAAGAAGACCCAGAGAAACATTTTCAACGTTCCAACTGAACCCTCATTCAGTCCTCCACTTGATGCGGAGTAATTATACAGTCCCGGGGAGACTAAGAGATAGGCAGAATAAAATACTGTCCAAATAAAAAGAGCGACCGCCAAGAACTTGTTGCTTAACCCAAAGGAAAAGCGCTTCCACGTCGAGACCGCTTGGTAACCATTAAGGCGTTCCTTATATATTGGTAATTTTTGTGCCGAGTCGTCAACTTTGAAGGAGTAGGAACCGTCGGGGTTTTGCTGGACAAATAAATTGTGTTTCACACGAAATTCTTCTCTCGTCCCCGGATGCATCTCAGCGAAGTAAATGTCAACTTTATACAGCAGCTCCATCACGGCGTGCATGTTTATCGCCAAAAAGATGACCACGTTACAGATGGGGAGAAGCATGGTGCATATTATCATGAAAACGGCCGCTCCAGAAACATGAAACGCTCCGAGAACAGTGTTATCAACTTGAATCTGAATACCGAGAATTGCTATCATTAAGATGAACACCACCACGTTGCCGATAATATTCGACACGTATCGCCACTGAATTCCGCCAAAACACAACGCCCCGCACTGTCGAATCCCAGCTATCTTATCTTCCATTACCTTGAAAGCGAGGATTAGCATGTACATGCGCACAGAGTACGTAAATATAAGTTCTATCATCGCAAAAATAAGAAGCAACATGCCAATAACCGCCTTCCAACTGCCGAACGAGTATGATTGCTCGGACACCAACCCATACAGGTCACATACGATGATTGGGTACAGCAGGATTTCTTGTCCAATATTTTTGGCAAACTGTGCAGCTCTGGTGCAAGCGTCTTCCACGACTGGAACCCGCTGGGTGGCTTCTAGTTGCTCCGAAGCACCTTCGGTGTCGGATATTACCTTCTCCTCGACGTCAGTGGCAGGACCAACTTTCTTTTGGACACATTTAACGCAAAGTATTCGCCGAAAGAACTTGAAGCCTGCAAAAAGCCAGATCAAGGTCTCAATGGCTGTAAGGAGTGTAGCAATCACGTTGAACGCGATGTTTTGGTCGCCATCCAATATTGCGAAAATTATGGCGAATATGAAGGTCAGAGTCAACAGAATCTGTTTGTAGACTGACACAAAGAAGTCCACCTTTGGACCCAAAGGTTGTGCTGCCCCGTTCTCCTTCAGCATACCCCAGATGTACTCCAATCCCGTCCGAACAGCCGCTCTGTTCTCCACATCCTGAATGCGCAACTCTGAGCTAACGATGAACACCTGGTTTACCCTGTGTCTGTACCAGTTGTGGTTTTGGCCTTGTTGCTGATGGGGATTGACTGGAATCTCCCCACGATCCATAGTTTGGTTTCCGGGTGGAGGGATAACGTGTTGATACGGCATACTATACTGCACCGTTCCGGGCTGTGTTCCATTGTATCCATATGTATTTGGATAATGCTGCTGGCCGGCGGGAGGATATGAAGGATCTACGTGGACCTGATTATGTCCGACATTATAGGGTGCGTTTGGGTGCGGTGGGCCTTGAGCTTGGTTGTGCGGATGCTGCGGGTAACGGTGGTCGAGATTATGGGTCGGTTGTAAGTGTGCCTGGCCATGAGAACCTTGGCCAAGGTGTGACCGCTGCTGCTCGTTGTGTTGGTTTTGTGGTGCTTGTGGTGCTTGGTCTGGTGAAAAGGGATGACGCTCTTCCATTCTTCATTCAACAGGTTTCGATTTGTTACGACTGCCCGTCTTGAATCCTATGCTTATTTAATGGTATTATAACCAGACTCCTGAAACGATGAATAAAATTCGTTTTTGTGTGATGCTGATTTAAAACAATGGTGCTAGGTATATAAT